ATTGCTATAAGTTCACAGCACAGATCTTCAGCATCAATATCTTTGTTTCCATTGTGCATTAAGGATTTTTCCAAATTCTTGCAGGCCATAAGTACCTTTCCAGTACATTTTTGTTGATCTTGTATATATCGTACAGGAAGCCAAACATGGAATTATATTGTTGTAGCTGTTGGAATCTCTCTTCAACAGATTGTATGGCCATGTCTAAGACAGCATAATACAAATTTATTTTGAATTTCTGCTTTGGATCTTGCGGTGCCTCCTCTTGTGCTTCATACTCAGACTGCTTTTTTGTTCTCCTTTTTCTAACTTGTTCTGTCTCAAAGTTTGGTAGTACCTGTATTTCTAGCTCCTTTGTAATCTCAGTAGCAGTCATCAAAACTTGTTGAAAACCCGCATCACACCTACAGTCCACAAGGTAATTCTTAGTCACTTCTGGATAAGCCAGAATTGTAGTTAGCAATACTCACCTAGTCCAAGCCAAGCAAGACCAGGAGAACGCTGGGTTTTGGGGTGGAGCACTCAATTTCTGAGCCATGTACAGATTTCAGATTAGCAGCCCACCTGGCTGCTTTGGGCAACCCCACCGCTTCTGCAACACCAGCCACCTGGCTGGAGAGGAGGGAGGCTGTAAAAGCCAGAAGCTGGTGCCAGGGCCCTGCTAGGGTGAAGACTGCTTAAAAACTCTAACTTAAAAACACAATCAGAACAAGTTATTAAAAATCCCATAATTCAATTTATGGGAAATGACTACCAGGTGGCCATTGTAGAAACTGTCCTCATAAGAAAATAAAAGACGCCATGTTGGATCAGGCCAATGACCCATCTAGTCCAACACAGTCAACATGACTATACACTCCTATATAGTGTGGAAGGAAGTGTGGAAGGGATTGTCACTCTCGAATTGGCCTTTTTAGCCACACTAGATGCTGTTCCAAGTCCTCCATACAGAGCACGTTACCATAGTCTCCCGAGACTGAAGGATGCCTAAGATACCCAGAAAAATGCAACAACTTCAGCAAGCAGGCAAACAAAGCTATTTCAATATGGAAGGCTTACTCTCCTCCAGTGTTTCATCTCCCAAATACAATGTAATGATAGTAACTGAAAAGTAAAAATTGAGTAAAAGAAGATAGAAACTCACTTTTCCCCAAATGTCATTGGGAACACCAGCCAAGCCAGCATGCTCAGCTCAATAGAGGCCTTGCAGTTGCAGTGTAAGAGTTGCCACATTGAAAGTGAAACCATCATTCCCTCTTACTTGAACTAGGGGGTATTGGTCTGGCACACAGAATTTGGGATTTTTTAAGAGCCCCGAGAAAGAGATTAGTAGATCTTCCAGGGCAGAGGTCACAAGGTAGACCTTCTGCTCCCATGCTCACTTGGTTTAGGGGGAACATTAGTGGAGCCCCTCCCAAACTAGAAGTCTGTCTCTAGTTTAACTGTGCTGGAGGAGGCTCTTGAGAGTCCCCTGGACTGCAAGGACAACAAACCTATCCATTTTGAAGGAAATCAACCCTGAGTGCTCACTGGAAGGACAGATCCTGAAGCTGAGGCTCCAATACTTTGGCCATCTCATGAGAAGAGAAGACTCTCTGGAAAAGACCCTGATGTTGGGAAACTGTGAGAGCAAGAGGAGAAGGGGACGAGAGAGGACGAGATGGCTGGACAGTGTCACCGAAGCTACCAGCATGAATTTGACCCAACTCCAGGAGGCAGTGGAGGGAGGAGGGCCTGGCATGCTCTCGTCCATGGGGTCATGAAGAGTTGGACACGACTAAACGAGTAAAAATCAACAACAAAAAGCTTAAAAGAGACCAAAAGCTAAGTGAGAGAGGAAAGCTGCAGGCTATTCACCAAAATTTTCTCCCTCACTGCTGCCTGTCCATTAGCCCTATTTGATAGCTTATAACCTCAGGAAGTAGATCGCAGTACTGGTGTCAATAAGACATTTGTAAGAAATAGGAGTTTCTTTATTTTATTTTATTTATTTATTTAACTTATATGCCGCCCACTCTACCCAAAGGTCTCTGGGCGGCTTACAACAATTAAAATTCAATAAAAAATAAAATGATTAAAATACAATTAAAATTGCAGCAGGTGGTCACCTCAGGGGCGAGGGACTCAAGGGTACCCAGTGCTGGCAACTCTGAAAGTGCTTATGCTTACTTCCATTGATGCCAGGGGTGATCTATGCAAATGAGTTATGCTAATTAACCACTGCTCTTTCTCCCTACAGGCGATAAACTTGTTTCCTTTCTGAGAATTTCTCATATCTACCGCTCCTTAAGTCATCTTCTGGCTAAAAAAAGGTTGCCCAGAGTGGGAGGAGGGGGAAACCGAAAGACATTCGGTTTTGCTTTTGTTGTTCCTAAAAGGCGAGGGCAGAGAGAGAGAGAGAGAGAGACCTTCGGGGTAGTAAGAAGTGTACAGTAATTTCCTGGACTAGCCCTCCGGGCAACGGAGGCGGAGAGCGCCGGGACTTCTTCTCGACCCCGAAAAGGCAAGGCTCGGGGGACGGGACGGGAGTGGGGGAGGGTTGGCTGCGTTTGGGCGGGAAACTGGAGACCCGGGAACAGCCAACAGCCTCCTCCGAAGGATGCTGAGGGAAGACTTTCCCGGTTCGGAAACCCATCGAGCGGTTTAAATTTGTCATTCTGTTCCTCGCAAGGGACGCCCCCCCCCTCGTGTGCGTCCGGGAGGGTTTGGCGCTCAGGACCGGCTCTCGCTGGCCTGCTCCGAGGGGACGGTCTCGGGGGGGGGGGCGACGCTGCCCCCGAGTCGGGGCTGTGGCGAATGAAACCGCCCCGAGAGGTGGCGCAGCCCCCCCACCCCTTTAGTATGTTTCCCATGAAGGGGGCCTCTGCTGCCAGCGCTTGGGCTTCAGAGGCAGACTGTAGGTGAAGCTGCGAGGAGGGGGGGAACCAACCCTGCAGTCACACCCCCTACATTGGCGGTGCATTGTGTGTGTGTGCGTGCGTCCGCGCGCGCGCATGGGCTCCAAACCCCCCCCTTCCCCTTGCTGCTCCCAAGGGTTACTCTTGGAAGAAAGACCAGGACCTGGTCTGGTTAGACGAATGGGGTGGGTTGGGGGTTCTGGGCAAATTGCCTATTTCTCTCCCACCTAATATTGTGGCTTCTGGGGGGGGGGAGAACTAGCTGCACTGGCCGTGCCCCATTTGTCTTCATGGGGCCCCTGTCACTGCCCATGCCACCTTAAAAACGAACACATGTAGTATAACTTGAATTTTATTAGACTGTGGTTGCAATCCTGTCCCCACTTCTTGTTGTTACCTACTGTCCAGTTGCCCTCGATTTAGGGTGACCCCATGAATGAGTGATCTCCATAATGTTCTGTCTTGCTCAGCTCTTGCAAATGCAGTCTGTGGTTTCCTTTAGGGAATCACCCTATCAGTCATATTTGTCTATTTCTGCTGCCTTCTGGCTTTTCTGGGGAATCCTCCCTTCTCATGATGTGCCCAGAATAGGACATCCTCAGTTTCATTATTTTTGCCTGTAGAGATAGTTCATTCTTGACAGTAACTCCCACTGAACATACTGGAACTTCATTTCGAGTAAACATATGTAAGATTGCAGATTGCACTCCCTAAATTCCATTTTCCTACTTCATTTTACACTTACAGTGTTATCTAGACTAACATTTACTAACATATTGGCTCTCCTAGAACAGTGTTTAACTGTAAATATGTTTACTCTGTTTTTCACTGATAAAGTGCTTTCTCCAGTCAGGGTGTCAGGGTAGTTTCAGTCCTGGGTTGAAAAGGGGGTGTGGGGGGGAAAGAGGTCTGCAGACATAGGATGTTCTAGCAGGTGAAGTGGTGGTTTCAGGCTTCACCCAGCATAACCCCTGGGATTTTGTGTGTGTTTGGTTGGTCTAATAAAGGCATTACAGTAAATGGACATTGGCATTTTTCTCTTGGCAGCCATGGCTACCTTTAAAAAAAAACATGAGTTAACTCTTTATTTCAGCCTTGCCCAAGTGTCTTGGAAGAGATCACAACCGTGGTCATCCTGGATGGAGAGGATGAACCTATAGTGGGCAGGGCATAATTTATGTCCATCTCTTACACAGTGTTAGTAATAATAGTCTTAGAACTGCAGAGCTGGAAGGGACCCTGTGGATCATTAAGTCTAGCGCCTGTCAAAGAGGCTCATTGGAGAATCGGATTAATATATGTGGCCCTTGGCAAAGTCAGAATGTAAAGTCTGCCCCCTCCATGGGGGAAACATGCTAATACCTCACATTTGCTGCCTTGCTCCAACATCTTCGATGGCAATCTAACATGAAAACTTTAATAACTAGAGTTCCCTCTGCTTATCACTTAATATGTGGTCTGATGATGTAGCTGAAGAGGGACAGTTATTCTGCCTTTGGCAACAGATAAAATCACTGATTTATATACAGTTTTCTTAATAGAAGGGTTTTATTAGATTACTAGATCACAGTGCGTAGAATCCTGCACAACATAAACCAAAAGTTTTGTAAGTTGTGTGTGTGTGGTCATTCTGTCATGCACTCAGACATACCCAGGTCACATGCTTGGTTTCAAACCTTAGTTGTGCAACCTCAAAAACTTGTGATGTACCTCTTGCACAATTTCTTACACATGTGCTATTTTTGCAAAAGGATTATAGCCTGGAAATATGATCATTCTTAAGATATAAAAGGGAAAATGACACATGACAAGGAAGTTATATTGTACAGATACCAGTGAGTTAGGTATCTGGTTGGGGAGCCGAGGGTTGGGAGTTCAATTCTCTGCTATGATTCCTGGGAGAAGAGACAGCTTGTGTGGCCTTGGGCAAGCTGCATAGTCCTACAGTATGTCCCCAGAAGAAGGTAATGGTAAACTACTTTTGTGTATTCTTTACCTATAAATCAGAATTGACTGGATGGCACACTATTATTATTTTTATTATATAATTTCAGAAAATTTAAGTTATTGATAATATTTTGTGATAAATCTATTTCTGCAGGGACTCACAGGATGGTGTCTGACTTCATAATTAAAGCAATGGAACCCAATTAGAGGCTCTTAGTTCAATACTTGCAGAGGCTCTGCTGACACTGGCCATAGCAGCAGCTGGAAAGGCAATTTCAAAACAGAAGAATGGAATACATATGAGTTACAGCTTGGCTGGATGAAGTATCTGTATGAAACACACCATTAAGTGGTATTTAAAAAGTGTTTTCCAAGATCATCTCATGTAGCCAAACTGTAGTTGCATCTGCAGTCTGTTGAACTGTTTGGAAAATTGTCACACATTTCTGTAGAGTTCAGTGTGAGCAGAGCCAGTATTGCATTTATTGAAAGGTCTGGGCTGAGGTCTGTGCATCCTTCTGGGAGAGAAGAGAGAGAGAACATGGCTGCACCTGAAGCTGGAAGCACAGACCCATGTCTTCCTCTGGATTCAAATAGAGCAGAGAATGGGGCAGTTAATGGACACATAAAACAAATGAATGGAACCATTAAAGAAGTACCCTTTACAGAATTTCCAATGCATGGTGAGTTTTGATTCATTAATGAGCCGTGTCTAATTAAGGTTAGGCTAAATACCTCCATGAAGACAGGAGAGCCTGGCATGCTCTGGTCAATGGGGTCACGAAGAGTCAGACACAACTAAACGACTAAACAACAATAATGAAATACCTCCATTGCTTGAGACCAGTTTTTTTTTTAAAATAGACTACCTGCACCTATACAAACCTGCCAAGGTCTCAAGATCAGCCAAAAAGACAGAGCATTGATTATAACCTTCATTATAATCAGTGCAAGACTGTAAGATCTTGGCTACAATTCTATAATTGGTATTAATTTAAGATTTTCATATCTTGCAATGGCTAATTGTGACTAATTGACAAGGAGCTCGGGCACATTTCAGTTGTGTAATCTATTGTGTGATTGAGACATGCCCAAGCACCTCATCAATTAGTTGCAATTAGCTGTGGTGAATGGCACATACTTTACGAAAACACCAGTAGGATTCTGGCCACAATAAGGTATATGAACAGTTGGGCATATAAGAGACAGTCTTTCTGGATCCTTATGCAATTTCCCACCCAAAATACATGTACCATCCCTTCCTTGTCTGTCTCTAAATAAGCATTTCAGACCTAGGTCAAAATTGAGCTGCATGTCCCAGTCGGAGTGAACCCATTCAATCAGATGCTCTATGGTAAAGGAACACATATGCAAATCCTACTGATTTGGAGGACTTCTAGCAAGCAGTTTTAGCGACTGAATTGAACCCTGTTTTTCTTCTGGGCTGCCTCAGATTGAGGATAGGCCCACCTTTTATACAGTCACTTTCTCTGTTGTGGAAAATACGGAAACCCCCTTGGAGCATGGTTCTGTGTACACCAGTGGCTTCGTATAGTTTTTACAGTTAATCTTATTTGCTTCCAGCATTCCTCGGCTGTCAAAAAGAGTGCAATTTAAATCCACCAGCAGTGTTTTCTCTAGGAAGATAGAGTGTACCGTGTAACTTTGTCCCAGAGATTTTATGTAACTCTTCAGCTAACACTGATTCCAAAAACATACTTTTTAGTTTGCTGAAGGGTCTCATATAAGAAACAGAAACAATGTTGCCAAATGCCATTCTTAACAATGTAAAAACATTGTTCTGTAGTAGCTTTTCTTGCCTGATTCTAAAGCTGCATGCAGTGTAGGCGAGAACAAACTTTTTGTTTTTCGTTTCCTTTCATTTGATGTGATCTAGTATTTCATCTTTCTGCAAACCACATGCCTTGTGTGGGACTCTTGAGATAACGGTGCTATAGATTCAGTTGCATTTTTAGTTGGCAAGACCACAGCATTGGGTGTGGTTCATCTGGCCCAGGAGACAATAATTCATTTAGAGCAGCTACCTTTTCCTGTATGATCTCCCCTATTCTGGGCAACAGCAAAGCAAAGCAAAGTGTGCTGCGTATATACCGCCCCATAGTGCTACAAGCACTCTCTGGGTGGTTTACAAGTTATTTATGCAGGCTACACATTGCACACACACACCAACGCTACCTGGGGTTGAACCCCAGGTCATGAGCACAGTTTTGGCTGCAGTATAGCAGTTTAACCACTGTGCCACAAGGCTCCTTTTCTTCATTTCTTTTATTGAGTCCTGTGTTCCCCTTGGGGAGGGGACAGTAGCTTTAACCCACTCCCACGCTTTCAGTCCCCGAGTATCATTACATATTACCCCAATGCTTGAAGAAAGAAATTGGGAGATAAAATCTTTCACCTCCTAAAGTACTCTAGCAGGACACCTACATATCCTAAACATGTTGCTAAATACATGACTAAAAGGACTGCCCCTCCTGGATATATAGACTGATGATTTGGACCTATTTGCACTGAACATTTGTTCAGCTTGCTAGGATGACACCAGCTCTCTGTCCCAGGGTGTACTCGGCACAAGGTCAGCAGATTCAAAGTGGAACAAGACACTTGCTTCTTAAATATTTGTACCTCCATCCCCACCCCAGATGGTCCTGTACTTACCTTCTGCTTCCGTCTGCTTTGTTCCCATGCAGGATCTGCCTGTGTGGACCCCATTATCATACTAATGGGATGCTGATCCCTACTCTTTGTGGGTGGGTGTCATTTGAGGATGTTTCCTTACTGCCATTTCAGTCAGTCTCCTCCTCTCCATACCTGACTACTGTCTGTGTTTCGTTTACTTGGGATATCAGCTGGACCGGTGTTCTTTTTTTTAATGTTATCTTTATGCATCATAGCACAAATGAAATAAAATTTAAGAAGCATTGGAGCAACAATGGTGGGTGTGTAAAACAGAGGGAGGAGGGAGACACAGGGAAGAACCAGATACCCCAGAGGGATCCTTCATGCATTAGGAACCATCATGCCATTTGGACCAATGCATGTGTTTGAACAACTGCATCCTGTGCCAGGGAATCCTGGCGTTGTGTTGTGTTTAGTCGTTTAGTCGTGTCCGACTCTTCGTGACCCCATGGACCAGAGCACGCCAGGCCCTCCTGTCTTCTACTGCCTCCCGGAGTTGTGTCAGGTTCATGTTGGTTGCTTCGCAGACACTGTCCAGCCATCTCATCCTCGGTCGTCCCCTTCTCCTCTTGCCGTCACACCTTCCTAACATCAAGGTTTTTTCCAAGGACTCTTTTCTTCTCATGAGATGGCCAAAGTACTGGAGCCTCAGCTTCAGGATCTGTCCTACCAGTGAGCACTCAGGGTTGATTTCCTTTAGAACTGATAGGTTTGTTCTCATTGCAGTCCAGGGGATTCTCAAGAGCCTCCTCCAGCACCACAATTCAAAGGCATCAATTCTTCGGCGGTCAGCTTTCTTTATGGTCCAGCTCTCACTTCCATACATCACGACAGGAAAAACCATAGCTATGACTATTCGGACTTTTGTTGGCAAGGTGATGTCTCTGCTTTTCAAGATGCTGTCAAGATTTGTCATCGCTTTCCTCCCAAGAAGAAGGCGCCTTTTAATTTCAGGGCTGCTGTCTCCATCTGAAGTAATCATGGAGCCCAGGAAGATAAAATTTGACACTGCCTCCATATCTTCCCCTTCTATTTCCCAGGAGGTGATGGGACCAGTGGCCATGATCTTAGTTTTTTTGATGTTGAGTTTCAGACCATTTTTTCGCTCTCCTCTTTCACTCTCATTACAAGGTTCTTCAATTCCTCCTCACTTTCTGCCATAAGAGTGGTATCATCTGCATATCGGAGGTTGTTGATATTTCTTCCGGCAATCTTAATTCCGGCTTGGGTTTCTTCCAGTCCAGCCTTCCGCATGATGTATTCTGCATATAAGTTAAATAAGCTGGGGGACAATATACAGCCTTGCCGTACTCCTTTCCCAATTTTGAACCAATCAGTTGTTCCATGACCAGTTCTAACTGTTGCTTCCTGTCCCACATATAGGTTTCTCAGGAGACAGATAAAGTGGTCAGGCACTCCCATTTCTTTAAGAACTTGCCATAGTTTGCTGTGGTCCACACAGTCAAAGGCTTTCGCATAGTCAATGAAGCAGAAGTAGATATTTTTCTGGAACTCTCTGGCTTTCTCCATAATCCAGCGCAAGTTAGCAATTTGGTCTCGAGTTCCTCTGCCTCTTCGGAATCCAGCTTGTACTTCTGGGAGTTCTCGGTCCACATACTGCTGAAGCCTACCTTGCAGGATTTTGAGCATAACCTTGCTAGCGTGCGAAATGAGTGCAATTGTACGGTAGTTGGAGCATTCTTTGGCACTGCCTTTCTTTGGGATTGGGATGTAGACTGATCTTTTCCAATCCTCTGGCCACTGTTGAGTTTTCCAAACTTGCTGGCATATTGAATGTAGCACCTTAACAGCATCATCTTTCAAGATTTTAAATAGTTCAACTGGAATGCCATCACCTCCACTGGCCTTGTTGTTAGCCAGGCTTTCTAAGGCCCACTTGACTTCACTCTCCAGGATGTCTGGCTCAAGGTCAGCAACTACATTGTCTGCATTGTCCGGGATATCCAAATCTTTCCGATATAATTCCTCTGTGTATTCTTGCCACCTCGTCTTGACGTCTTCTGCTTCTGTTAGGTCCCTCCCATTTTTGTCTTTTATCATGTTCATCTTTGCGCAAAATGTTCCTCTAATATGTCCAATTTTCCTGAACAGATCTCTGGTCTTTCCTTTTCTGTTATCTTCCTCTATTTCTTTGCATTGTTCATTTAAGAAGGCCCTCTTGTCTCTCCTTGCTATTCTTTGGAAGTCTGAATTCAAGTTTCTGTAACTTTCCCTATCTCCCTTGCATTTTGCTTCCCTTCTCCTCTCTGCTATTTCTAAGGCCTCGTTGGACAGCCACTTTACTTTCTTGCATTTCCTTTTCTTTGGGATGGTTTTCGTTGCTGCCTCCTGGACAATGTTACGAGCCTCTATCCAAAGTTCTTCAGGCACTCTGTCCACCAAATCTAGTTCCTTAAATCTGTTCTTTACTTCCACTGTGTATTCATAAGGGATTTGGTTTAGATTATACCTGAGTGGCCCAGTGGTTTTTCCTAATCTCTTCAGTCTAAGCTTGAATTTTGCTATGAGAAGCTGATGATCAGAACCGCAGTCAGCTCCAGGTCTTGTTTTTGCTGACTGTATAGAGCTTCTCCATCTTTGGCTGCAGAGAATATAATCAATCTGATTTCGATATTGCCCATCTGGTGATTTCCATGTATAGAGTCGCCTCTTGTGTTGTTGGAAAAGAGTGTTTGTGATGACCAGCTTATTCTCTTGACAAAACTCTATTAGCCTTTGTCCTGCTTCGTTCTGAACTCCAAGGCCAAACTTCCCTGTTGTTCCTTTTATCTCTTGGCTCCCTACTTTAGCATTCCAGTCCCCTAGAATGAGAAGAACATCTTTCTTTGGTGTCAGTTCTAGAAGGTGTTGTAAATCTTCATAGAATTGTTCAATTTCAGTCTCCTCAGCAATGCTGGTTGGTGCATAAACTTGGATTATTGTGATGTTGAAAGGTCTGCCTTGGATTCGTATTGACATCATTCTATCATTTTTGAGATTGTATCCCATTACAGCTCTTCCCACTCTTTTGTTGACTATGAGGGCTACTCCATTCCTTCTACGGGATTCTTGCCCACAATAGTAGATATGATAATCATCTGAGCTGAATTCGCCCATTCCTGTCCATTTTAGTTCACTGATGCCCAGGATGTCAAAGTTTATTCTTGCCATCTCCTGTTTGACCACCTCCAGCTTCCCAACGTTCATAGATCTTACATTCCAGGTTCCTATGCAGTATTCTTCTTTGCAGCATTGGATTTTCCTTTCACTTCCAGGCACGTCCACAGCTGAGCGTCCTTTCGGCTTTGGCCCAACCACTTCATTAGCTCTGGAGCTACTTGTACTTGTCCTCCGCTCTTCCTCAGTAGCATGTTGGACGCCTTCCGACCTGAGGGGCCCATCTTCCAGCGTCATATCTTTTAGCCTTTTGTTTCTGATCATGGGGCGTTCTTGGCAAAGATACTGGAGTGGCTTGCCATTTCCTACTCCAGGTGGATTGCGTTTAGTCGGAACTCTCCCCTATGTCCTGTCCGTCTTGTGTGTCCCTGCACGGCATAGCCCATAGCTTCTCTGAGTTACTCAAGCCCCTTCGCCACGACAAGGCAGCAACCCATGAAGGAGAGGGAATCCTGGCAGTAGCAGGAATGGGTAGAAATTGGTCCTTTCAAAGTACGTTACTCACAATCATCCGTTTTTCACTTCCTACACTGATGCTGTCCCTGAGATGTGTCACTGGGGACCTGGAGAAACAGAGCAACACTTTGGGGCTTAAGCTGGTGCCCTGAGATGTGCGTTGTGAATTATATGAGTTTTTGCAATAGATTTTCTGAAATCAAACAGCATCAATACCTTGTTTCCTCTTACAGGGTTTCAGTGTTGTGAGAAACGGAGAGCACCTTTGTGGACAGTTGTGAGCTTGATATGCAATGCAGTTTTTCTCATCCCAATCATCATTTTAAGTGTGGTTTTAATATCAGGTAAGCAAAGACCTGCATTGATCGTCTTTCTTCTATCAGTTTAACTCTAGCTTTACCTTTCTGCCAAACCCACAGAAACTGTTTGTAGTATAAGTTTTGGGAACATATTTTTCTTTTTCTCTGTTCATAGTCTTTGCCTGCATAAACTGAGAGTTAAAGATGCCATTTAAAATTTCCAAGGTGGCTCTTCCTAAACAGTTCACTGCTCAAAGCAACACCATCATCTCCTAAAGTTGCAATACATTCTTGACTTCCTACAATAGTGGAACAATGTCAATGCAACATGTAAACATTTAAGACTGGCAGTTTCCTGACTATTTGAGATAAGTGCTTAAGTCCCAATGAACAGTAAAGTGATACTTTCGTTTAATTTGATTAAAGCATCACAAAATCATCAGAAGGCTTCCAGGTTCTCTAGAAGCTGTTGTCTTTTTCCCTAATGGACAGGAATAACCACCCATGCTTTCTGTGGATCTGCAAACCAGGCGTTATCTACACTACACACATAATAGCACTTTGATTTCATTTTAACTGTCATCCTGGGTTGTGCCTAAGGAATTCTAGCATTTGTAATTCAGTGAGTGACTTGGGGCAGTATCCTGTTTCATTTTCTACCTGTGGAATGGAAATCATGGAAGCAGCTTGTGGCTACTTGGTGCCCAGCACTTCACAGATAGCTTTGTCCACTTTTTTTAAAAGTAAAAGGTAAAGGTTCCCCTTGACATTTAGTCCAGTCATGGCTGACTCTAGGGGGTAGTGCTCATCCCTGTTTCCAAGCCATAGAGCCAGTTTTGTCCTTAGACAGTTTCCGTGGTCACCTGGCCAGCATGACTAGACACGGAACGCCGTGACCTTCCCACCAAAGTGGTACCTATTTATCTACTTGCATTTTTATGTGCTTTCAAACTGCTAGGTTGGCAGGAGCTGGGACAAGCGACGGGAGCTCACTCCGTTGTGTGGATTTGATCTTATGACTGCTGGTCTTCCCACCTTCCATTTATTTATTTATTTATTTACCCCGCCCATCTAGGCCAATGGTCTACTCTGGGTGGCATTGCAGCACAGAGGCTTCTGCAGTTTAACCCACAGCGTCACCACGTCTCTCCTTTGTCCACTTTAGCAGCCTCCAATTCTCTGTGTCAAAAATTAAAGACATTGGCCTTACAACATTCCGCTGTGACTCAAGGTTGTACGTTAGAGTTCCCTGTCACAGAATTCTAGGTACTTCCCAGGAGAAGATTCAGCCTGTGTAGCCTTGGGCAGGATACACTGTCCCCGGACACCCCCAAAAGAAGGAAATAGTCAACCACTTTTGAGTACAGTGGTGCCTCGCTTGATGATGTTAATTCGTTCCAGCAAAATCGCTGTAGAGCGAAAACGTCGTCAAACTAAATAAAAAAACCCATTGAAACGCATTGAAAATCGCTCAGTGCATTCCAATGGGCTGAATACCTGCTCGTTTTGTGAAGATCCTCCATACGGCTGCCATTTTCGTTGCCTGTAAAGCGAGGAATCCATCCTAGAAAACAGCGGGGGGCCATTTTGACAGCCTTTGGCCATTTTGAGAGCCGCCGATCAGCTATTAAAAAACATCATTTTGTGAAGAATCGGCAAAAGCGATCGCAAAAACGTCGACGTAAAGCGGATTCGTCGTACAGCGGGGCAATTGTCCAGCGGGGCATGCCTGTACTCTACACCTAAGAAGCACTGGAAAGGGCCACCATAAGTTGGACATGACTTGACAGCTCAAAATTATTATTCTTCACCAAACTGCAAATTAAAGGATCCCATACAGTACAGGAGTCTTATGCTGCAGTTGTTAAACTGCAGTACTGCAGGCAAAGGACTATGGAGTGATATCAAATAGATGTAACTGTTGTATAGACACACTCTGTCTGCCATGGAGGACTTTCAGAGCACCTTAACCAGCAAGCTAGAGAAAGTTTTATCTCTCTTAGCAATTCAGAGTAGTCTATTGACTAGATGGGCGGGATATAAATTCAATAAATGCAGTATCTGGACAGGTCAGTTTAGGTCTTGGGAGTTATGTTTTCTTGCCAGTTCCATACAGAATGAGACTTATGGTATAGAATTTTAAAAGCGTATCTACTGGAGATGGGCAAAAATTTAAAAATGAGTTAAAATTAAATTACAATTAAAAATAGAAGGAGTGAATGAACCAGGTTTTTTGTTTATCTACATATGTTGAGAGGTCAAATTTCTCTACACAAACTGTCCTAGATGTAGCATTGATAAAAATATTAATCTGTCTCACTTCTTAATACTTTTCACTAGAGAGAAGAAGAGAGGCACAGCTGTGTTCTCCCACTGCTCCAGTACACAGTTGTCCTGATGGTTGGATTGGATACCGAAAGAGATGCTACTATTTTGCAGAAGCAGAAGGAGACTGGGAGTTCAGCAGGAAGAACTGCTCTGCCTTCGATGCCTCCTTGGCTGTCATTGATTCCCAAGAAGAGCTGGTGAGTCCAACCATGTGGGGCAGCAGCGTGTTTCCCACCAGCTGACCTTGGTTAGGTGAGTGGACCTTTCGACCTTGTGATTCTTAGTGAGGTTTTTCAGCCACATGCATACCTGGGGAGGTTTACGTCCAGAAATACAACTTCTCAACAGGTTAAGGAAAAAAAACTCACAAAATCTCACATCCATCTGTCACACCTATGGTGTTAGCCGTGTAAATGTGGATTCATTGGGGGCAACAGCATTAGTTAATGATATTGGTGTGTAGTTTAAAATCTCCTGTGAAGGGCTGTTGCAGGTTTGTTTTTTTTCTCTTTTTTTGCATCCTCCTGTCTCAATAAGGTCTTAAATTCAGAGTGGGATCTTATGTTCGGGGTTTCTCTTCAAGCTAACATCTTTCTTGTAAAAGGAAAAAAAAAGAAAAAAAGAAGAAGACAGGATTGACCAGGATTTACTGTTGTTGGTAAAGTGAGTATGCTTCTTTTCTGTGCAAAGGATTTCTTGAGACGCTACAAAACGTCTGCCGATCACTGGATTGGCCTGAAAAGGAATGAAGAAACAGAGGCCTGGAGATGGATCAACGGTGTCATTTTCAACAACATGTGAGTCCCTCTTCTGCATAATTGAGGAAAACAGATGTCAAAATCCAGAAACCAGAGAAGCTGTTGCAGATTCTCAGCAAAACCCAGGGAAAGATATTCAGAATGTGTATGGAGATTTTTGAGAAATCTGAATGCTTTTATAAGAATTGTCTTTTTCAATGGAAACAGTGGAGTAGAGGAGAAAGGTGGTGCATGATTTGAGGAGCTCAAGGTTTCTTGAGCTGTTTTAACAGCTGTTGAATTAGTTTTTCTTTTTAGTTTAGGGAAACTATCTGTTTTTTTTAAATGACATTTTTAAAAATTCAATACCATGGCTGTGTCAGTAGAAGAGAATGGATTGTTCCAATGGGGATCGGGGCAGTAGCAGTAACTGAATGTGTTACTCATGGAGGAGGGAACAACAGTGACAATCAAGCTGACCTTTGTTTGGTCTGCATGTTGTTGTTTAGTCGTGTCCGACTCTTCGTGACGCCATGGACCAGAGCACGCCAGGCCCTCCTGTCTTCCACTACCTCCCGAAGTTGGGTCAAATTCATGTTGGTCGCTTCGATGACACTGTCCAACCATCTCGTCCTCTGGCATCTCTTTCTCCTCTTGCCTTCACTCTTTCCCAACATCAGGGTCTTTTCCAGGGAGTCTTCTCTTCTCATGAGATGGCCGAAGTATTGGAGCCTCAGCTTCAGGATCTGTCTTTCCAGTGAGCACTCGGGGTTGATTTCCTTCAACCGCCGAAGAATTGATGCTTTTGAATCGTGGTGCTGGAGAGTCCTCTGGTCTGCATAGAAGCTGGCATTGCTGCCCAGTAGCTGCCTTGAAAAGAGCAGATGTATCTGAGTCTGGTGTCTCAGCTGTGACCATTCCTCCTTGGGTGACCCTGCTGGGAGTCCAGACTGAGTCTGGCTTCCTTATAGGATTACTTTGAGCTTCACTGACAAACTCAAACTCTTTCTCCATGTTAAGATGTGCCTCCAAGAAGGGGAGTTCCAGGTTTTGTTAGGCATCCTTCAGTCAAGAGACTATGGTAACGTGCTCTGAATGGAGGTCTTGAACAGTGTCTAGTGTGGCTGAGAAGGCCAATTTGAGAGTGACAATCCCTTCCACACTGAAGACAAATACAATCTGTCCCCTGTCCAGCTCTCTGATTTTGCTCGTTTCGGGACTGCCTCTTTGCCTCGGCCTGCTGTACAAGGGTCTCTTCGAATTGGAAGAGGCCATGCTGTACCGCCTGCCTCCAGGTTGAACACTCAGACGTCAAAGTTTCCTATCTGTTGAGGTCCATTCCTGAGGCCTTCAGATCTCCTTGTCGTCTCCCTCTGGGGCAATTTCCCCACACTAATTCTCCATACAGGAGATCTTTTGGAATCCGACCATCAGCCATTCTCACAACGTGCCCAAGCCAATGTAGACGCCGCTGATTCAGTAATGTATACATGCTAAACTTCCAGCTTGTTCTAGGACTACTCTATTTGGAACTTTGTCCTGCCAGGTGATACCGAAAGTTCCAGATATATGAAAGGTTATTATCACTTACTATAACTAGTCCTCTCCCTTGTGGTGAACTGCACTTTATCATCCCAGGCAGGTACTACACTAAGTACAAGTAAATTTCAAACATTTGTTTCCTGTACAAAGAACCAGTTCAAATATTTTGTTTAAAATACGGTCTTTAAAGGAAGAACGAAACTCCAAACAAGTGAATAAAGCTCTTAGCTTTTTAGTCTTAATTTTAGATGCTGCAAATTGTTTTTATGATGACCTGAGTGTACTGGCATTTTTTTTCCTTTTCATTTGCTTTGTGGTGTGGTGAACATCTGCCTAAATGTTGTAGCTGCACTCTGTTCCAGTGATCTGCACACACTCCTTGCAGGAAGTGGCAGCTGCCAGCGGGTGGGGTAAGCCCTCATTCTGCCCTTTCACTTAGAGGTAGAGCATAAGATCAAAGAGTTATTTTAGCCCGTCCTAGTTATGATTAGGTAACTAGGATCCTATTTGGAAATTTGCATTTATTTCATTCTGTTGTTTTCAGCCTAGTGCTCAAGCCTATCAAAATCTTTTAAAAATTAATTTTTCGTTTTCTGAGGTATTAGCTATTCCACCTAATTTTGTGTTCCCCACAAATTTGATAAATATTCCTTGTACCCCCTCATTCAAATCATTAATAAAATGTTGGAGAGGATTGAGCCCTGGACTGAGCCTTGTGCTACCTTGCTTGTTACCTCCTCCCAATCTGAGCGCTCCTCCACTCCCTGTGCACACACACATCCCTAGGAGCTGCATATTTATTTATTTATTTATTAGCTTTTTATCCAACCCATTTAGGTCAACTCTGGGCGGTTTACAGTAAAATATCATAAAAACAATTAAAACAACAATTTAAATCAATAATATTAGTATTATTCAAGATGGAAAAGTATAAACAGAAAATTAAAATAAAAAGTAAAGTCAAGTAGGTAACTAGTACGTCTCTCTCACAACACGCTATGTAAATTATGCTAAGTAAATAAAAGAGCTCTCAGGGCGTTGCCTTTAGGCTCCATCTGCTTGTCGACTCCTTTGTACTTTCTCTAAGGCAATTAGCCTTACTTTGCTCCGTGATCACCCACATTGTGGGGTTTTTTTTGGTTTGGTTTGGTTTTTGCTTTTTAAGTTTAGCTTGCCCCTCCAATATTCAGGGTTTCTTTTCTGCCACCTGGTAGGGCAGCCGGATGAAACAGAGGACAGGCCTTCTGCCCCTTTAGCATTGTGTGATGGAGGACATTTCAGCCTGTGTCGCTTGCCTTAAAAGGTATAGCTGCTGAACTTTCCCCTTTGAAGTAACGATCAAAGCTATAGGGATCCTGACCTCCTTTTCATATACCTTCCCTCTTGCATGGTTTTATACTAGCTCCTGCTTCTATGAATTTTTTAGATGATGGATGGTGAGGATGATTTCTTCTTCTGCAGACTTCACATTCGTGGAAGAGGAGCATGTGCTTATGTGAATCATGAGGGGATTGCCAGCTCCAGCTGCGTATGGCAGGAGCCCTGGATCTGCAGCAAACCACCTGTCAGCTGATCAGACAAGCTTTACACCCGTTTCAAAGCCCTACAATGTAAGCAACTGAGATACTCGGAGTATTGTGCATGTATTCCTTCCTTCCTTCCCTCCCTCCCTCCCTCCCTTGCATTTCTCCTTGTAGAAATTTGCACCCTGCCACCACCGAGAGCAGTGAACAAGAAGTCAAAATCCCAATTGTAAATAAGACAATGCTTCAAATTGAAATTATATGAGAGGGAAAAGTGCACATAAAAACACAGCATTTGCGTAAAAAAAAAAATCAGCATAGACAGCCTAAAATGTTTTCCTGCCTGAGGCCAAGGACAATATGTCACCATCTTTCTTTCAACACGAAAAAGGTTAGCTACACTAGTAGGTGAATCTTATATTAACTCAACTGAAGGGGTCATATCTTTTACCATAACTGAGAGGTAGAAATGTTGTTTAGGGGCCCATGACAGCCTATGGAAGATATACAGTGGTGCCTCACTTAGCGATGTTAATCCGTGCAGCAAAAATCGCTGCTAACCAAAAACATCGCTAAGCGATATTAAAAAGCCCTTAGAAATGCATTAAAACATGTTTAATGCGTTCCTATGGGCTTAAAAACTAACCTTATGTGAAAATCCTCCATTGCGGCGGCCATTTTCGGTGCCTCATAAGCAAGGCAACACGGCGGGCGGCCATTTTGTTTACCCGACGGCCATTTTGGAACTGCCGATCAGCTGGCCGAAAATGGGGGCTTTGTGATGATTGCTTCTGCGCGCTCATCGCAAAGCGAATTTTCCCCATGGGGGCCATCGCAAAGCGATCGCTTTTGCGATCGCAAAAATAGGGTCACAAAGCGATTTCATCGCTATATGGAGCGATCGCTATGCGAGGCACCACTGTAACTTGGATCTTGCATATGCTTGAACACTGCCTATTTTCCCCGCTAATTAGCAAGTTTTTTTAAATAAAAAATCAGAATGCTTTTTTTATCAGAAATCCGAAGGGCCACTTCACATAGTGGGACAATTTAACTCAATATATCACTTTTAGAGACCCTTTTCCATGGAGAGCTAATCTTTCTTGCATAAGCATACTTGTACAAGGGGAAAAAAATTGTAGTAACATTAAAAATATTGTTCCTGAGAGAAGCAGACTACTAATATCTAGTTGTCCACATTTTGGGACAGCCGAGCAACATTTGGAATAGCAAAAACATGGTAGGTCTAGGGATGATCAGGACAAAATGGAGTTAAGCTATAATCTACTTTTCACCACAGGCTGAAAGGCCCTATAAGAAATATCTCTAACACATGTACAAACTCTGTCCCATAGGCATAATTATCTTCAAGAACCCGTTGTGAACTATGGGAGAAGCCTGAACCCTGGTCCCTTTGGAATCAGAGATGACTTGAAAGAGGAGGAGCAACATCCCAAACCTGTCTTTGCTTGCTTTCATGCTGTCTGGAATTATAGAATTATAGAGTTGGAAGGGACTTCAAGAGGCACAGAGTCCAGCTCACCACTAAAACAGGAAATCCACAAGAGAGGTTGTCAGGATATTATGGCTCATAAAGTAGAATTTAGTCTTTGTACATAAACCAGAGTGTTCTTCTAGACATACATTTTGTATCAGGTGTGCAGCTACAAGGTTAGCACATGTAGATGATGTCAGCCCTGAAATGTGTATTGGACATGATATAATGTCTGGGAGAAGACATTGCATGATAATGCTGGTGATTGGTTGTGTCACGCTATTTAAGTGCTGCACACTAGAGTGGAATATGGAGCTTTATATGTTGCTGCAAGAAGTGCTGTCTATTTATTTTACAGATAAGGGTGTTGTTTAGTCTGCTGTACATAGCTCTGCTGTTCATATTTTGTGTAAAAACATGAGTGCTGAAGGTATCTACCATCAGCCTGTGCTTAAAAATCTTCAAAGAAGGAAAGTCTAGCACCCTCTGAGAAAAATCCCAAGCCACTGTTGAAAAGCTCTGCTGCTAAACAAGATCTTCCTAATGTTTGGGCAAAATCTCCTATCTTGTAATGAATCCATTATTTCAGACCCTGTCCCCTGGAGCTAGAGAAACATGCTTGCACCATGTTTTATGTGGCAGCTTTTCAAATGTTTGAAGATGGAATCATAGAATAATTGAGTTGGAAGGGGCAGTCATGGTATGAGAGCTGGAGTGATATATGCAGTTGGAATGCAAGTGCAAGCTAGCATTAGTGGCTGTAATGAAAGACGGCAGATGGATAGTGAGGAGGAATTGAGAGATGGTCAGTCATCCCAAAGTTAGCCCCCTCCCTTATCAAAATGGGAGTACATCCTGGAAAGATTCTTTGCCAGGCAGCCCAAGAAATGCAGGAACAGAACCTGATGTATCCCATGAAGGACCAGGAGCAATTCTCCACTCCTGGAGAAGCTGTTGAGAAAGAGTCAAGGGTTAGTTCTAGCAGCTTATCACATCCGAGAGAGTTTGTTGCAAAAGAGGGAGGAATTGTGCAGAGAGCTGGAGGGGTCAGCAGGGAGATGCAAATTGGGTTGTTTAAACATCTGCTCCACCTTAAATGCTTTGAGTGTGGCGATGTGGGACACATTAAAAAGAATTGTGGGAGACTGACAATTAGAAAGCCAAAAACCACTGCGCAACTCAACGTGAAAATTATCAGGCCAGTGGGTTGAGTAATTGACACTCAGGAGCCATGGTATTTGGATCCAGAGGTGGATGAATGGGAAGCATGGGGAGGGTGATCATTGGAAGAAGAGTTTTGCTTCCCCAGGCAAGATCTACTAGGAGCAGGTATGCATTGAATTGATCCTGAGTCAGCTGAGCAAAGCAGAGGGAGAGGCCGAGGTTATCCATCATCATCAACTATTATTGTAGGCTGCGGCAAAAAATGTTGCCTCCAGCTAGAATTGAAGGTCAAGCCACAGAGAATTGCTTTGTGCTCTCTTCAGAAGGCTTCTATGCAAGGCATTACAGCTGTTAAAGTGACAGAGGATCGTTGAGACTTCCAGGGTGTGGATCCTGATACCATCGTAACTAGAGGTGGGGATGAACTGCCAGAAAAAGAAAAAAGCTGTTTTAATTTTGTTGGTGAACTTGATTCTGTATAAACCCATAATGTTTTTTTATCAAAGGCCTTGTCATTTGGATTACTGAACATTTTGTTGTGGCTTTTTTTTTGCCAGCTTTACTATATTCCTAAATTTTGCTTATACTCTACGTTTTGTCTAGCTCACTTAAGAGAAGCCAGGGTGTAACCAGGGAGGTTTCCCTTACCCTATAAGGCCATTGAGTCCAAACTCCTGCTCAATGCAGGACTCCACATCATAGCACATCTGACAATGGTTGTGCAAATTTCTCTTGAATGCTTCCAGCATTCCACAGGTAATTGGTTCCACTGTCGTACTACTCTAACAGTTAGGAAGTTTTCCCTGATAGCCTAAATCTGGCTTCCTGTTGCTTGAGTCCATTACAGTTGTGCCCCGCTTGACAACGATAATCCATTCCAGGAAAATTGCTGTTAAGCGAAATCGTTGTCAAGCGGGGGGGAAAAACCATTGGAATGCATTCAAAACCGGTCAATGCGTTCCAATGGGGAAATACCTCATCGTCCAGTGACGATTGCCCATAGAGAACCACCAATCAGCTGTCTTCCGAAGCAGGGGTCTAGAAAGCAGCCATTTTGAGAAGGGAGGGAAGCCATTTTATGAAGGGAAACCATTTTTCGTAGCCGGAGAAACAGTCGTTTAGTGAACAAATGGTTCGCAAACCAGGCTCCTAATCGACATCAAGAAAAAAAACTCATTGGAACCATCGTTTTGCGATCACACAAAAGTCATCATTAAGCAATTGCAACATTGTGTGAGGTAAGCGTCAAGCGGGGCACCACAGTATTATATGTCCTGCACTCTAAGATGAAGAAGAACAGATCCTGCCCCTCCTCTGTATAATAATCGTTCAAGTATTTGAAAAGTGCTATCATATCTCACATCTGTGTTCTTAAGGCTACACATGCCCAGTTTTCTCGGTCTTTCCTCGTAGAGCTTGTTTCTAGCTCCTTGATCATCCTTGTTATCCTCCTCTGAACCTGTTCCGTTTTGTTTGCATCCTATTTAAAGTATGGTGTCCAGAACTGGAAGCAGGACTCTAGATGAGGCCTAATCCATGCTGAATAGAGGGGGACTAGGACTTTATAGGATTTGGAGCTTATATATTTATGTTCATGCATTCTAAAATTGCATTTGCCTTTTTTACAGGAACATTGCCTGAACCTATCAGGTTGGTACTCTGACACACAGTAGTACCCTGTCTGACACACAGACTCCCACAACAGCTTCTTCTTCCCAGCTGCTGCTTCGTCACAACCCAGTGTCCCTCAGCATCTCCTTTAGTGTGTGTTCTCACCACACAGGCATCACCTATTTATACAGTACAGCCCCTCCTCCTGATGTCCCGCCTTCCACTCCCCATAGGATGGAACTTTCCCTCCAAACCCATGACAGACAGGTAACATCAGTGCTGTATGTAACAACCAGTACTTCACGTGATTTAGAGACTATACTTCTAATAATGCAGACTAAAATAGCAATGGTCGTTTTTGCAGCTGCATCACACTGCTTGCTCCTCTTCAGCTTGTGAACTGTTCCAAATCCAAGATCAATCTCACTCGTAGTATTACTAAGCCAAGTATCGGCCATCTTCTAACTGTGCATTTGGTTCATTTTTCCCTAGGTTTAGAAGTTTGCATTTATTTTATTGCACGTCTGGGCAGGGAGTGGAGGAGCGCCAGGTGGGAGGAAGGAGAAGCGCGCAGCCAGGTTGCGAGCGGGGCCCCTCCTTCACCTCAACCACAGAGAGGACGAGGTGACAGCAGCAGCAGCCTCGCCAGGTGACCCACGAAGAATGGGGGGGGGGGAAGAGATACCTAAAAGCAGAAACCCTGGGGGCACCAAACCCCTGAGGGAGAAAACTGCCAGGCAGAGAGAGAGACAGCTCTCCTTCTGGACACGTGGGCGCTTCAGTGGGGGGGAGGTGGGACCCAGCCTCTACGATGTGGGGAGGATGCCCCGCGCTTGCCAAGCAGGTGCCGCCACCGCTCCCGCTCCTTAAACTTTCATATTAAGGTGGGGGCCACAAACTATCATCCCGCAGGCCGCATGTTTGAGACCCCTGATCTAATTACTATAATGGTCACAGCAGCAAGGTTATTATTTGCAAAGAATTGGGAAAGTGATAACCAATTTAACATTGAGGAATAATAGAGAGAAATGTGGGATGTCGCAATTTATTATTATTATTAGTTTTATTTATATGCTGTATTTCTCCCAACAACGGACCCAAAGTGGCTCACAACATTAAAATTCACACAGTTTAAAAACAAAATAAGTTAAATATAAAAGATGAATCAAACAATAAATGATATACAAATAAAAGATTAAAACATGACAACATAAAAAATATTAAAATTATCTGCTAAAATGGGGTTCAGGGATTCAGTTATAATTGTTAAAATTAATGATGAAGTGACTTGTGAAATGAAGTTAAGAAGAGGCTTATGAAAAGCAATGGCTTTAAAAATATGGAATTTATTTCTGGAATACTTTTTTTTGGTATGGGAGGGAGGATACACCGGGAGAAGAATCAATGTGTCTCTGGCAACAAATTGGGCAGAATGAAATGTAAGAATATTAAAAGCAGAACCTAGCCCTGAGGATGAAGATGGCATGGGTGAAGTAATATGTTTAAGATAAATTAATGTAATACATTATAGAAGTGTTTTTGGTTTGGTTTATGTTGTTTTCAATATAATTTTTTAAGAGGAATGAAGCAGAAATTCTGAGGGGGGGAAATAGTAACATGTGAAAATAATAACATGTGATGGGGCTTTGTTTAGTTTCTTTTAATATGGTTTCTTAGCTGTATGTTTTATATAATTGTTGTAAGCCGCCCAGAGACCTTTGGGTAGTGTGGGCAGCATATAAGTTACATAAAAATAAAGAAATTTTGTAAGTCGCCCAGAGTACAGTAGTGGCATGATCACTGAATGGGCGAGATATACATTTAAATAAAAAATAAAATATTAGCAGCTGCACCCTTAACAATCTGAAATTAACTTCATTACCTCAGAAGTACGAAGTGCATTATGTATAACTCAGTTTGACATAAAATTAGTGTGTTTTGCATAACAAAAGTACAGTTTATTCAGACAATTACAACCTGAATGCACTGTTTACATTTTTAATGTTTTATTTTCTTCTGTTTGTCATAAACAGCTGAATTGCAAAAGAAAACCTCTTTGGTTTTGCTGCTTTAGGTAATCAATGAAACCAAAATAACAATCCATGTTGAGTTAGTCCACTCAGCTAGGATTGTTTTTCTTTGATTACCTGAATAAGTACCATGTTTCTCTTGCTTTGGGTGGGCTTTATGGGAATTAGACTAAAAAACAATAAAAAAACTCATATAAATATTAGTCAAAGTAAACAAAGTAAATTATGTCTCTGGTCCACTGTACCATAATATCAAGCAGACGTAAACCACTCATTCCCAGAAAAAGACCTGAAGAAAAAAACTTTGGGAGGAACTGAATCAATATTCAGTGAATACGTATGATATTTCCCCAGTCTCATTTTCTGAGCGATTGCCATTGGTTTCAGTTTTTACTCTTACAGCTTTTTCCATGTTGGGGGAACAAATATATGAACACATTGTCTGAAACATATCCATCATGCTTTAAAAAAATTGCATAATCATTTTTCTCTAAAAAAATTTTTGGAAAATAAATGAAAAATCTCATGGCCATGTAAAGTTCTCTGGTATTAGTTTTCTAATAGGAATCAAAGAATGTATGGAAAACTCAGAAAAGGAGAACGTTGAATTTCTCCCCTTATATACTAAGGCACATATTTTCACTTCAAGCAAAAATAATTTACAGAGGACTCCTGCTCCAGAATCTCTCAGCCTTGCACTATGATTCACTGAAAATAATCTCTAAACACAAACTGAAGTGTTATTACTGCCACAACAACTACTACTGTTACTCTTATGATTAGGCTACATTATTATCCTTCCTAGCAGGGACGTGGTGCCGCTGTGGGCTAAACCGCAGAAGCCTGTGCTGCAGGGTCAGAAGACCAAGCAGTCGTAAGATCGAATCCACGCGACGGAGTGAGTGCCCGTTGCTTGTCCCAGCTCCCGCCAACCTAGCGCTTCGAAAGCATGCAAAGGCGAGTAGATAAATAGGGACCACCTCGGTGGGAAGGTAAACAGCGTTCCGTGTCTAAATCACACTGGCCATGTGACCACGGAAAGATTGTCTTCGGACAAACGCTGGCTCTATGGCTTGAAGAGCGGGATGAGCGCCGCCCCCTAGAGGCGGGCACGACTGGACAAAAATTGTCAAGGGGAACCTTTACCTTTACCTTTATTATCCTTCCTTCCAAGGAGCTCCTGAAGCATATGGAATATTTTTTACATGGTTGATGGAATGTATGCTCTGACCTGTTCCCATTCTGACAAACTTTAAAAAGGGATGGAGTGGGGGACATATCCTTTATATTCTCGAATGAGGGTAAAAGCAGGAAAAAACAGCAATGGGGCTTAAGCATCTTCTGTTCAGTTATGAAAAAATCTGACAGTCGAAGGCATTCTGTATCTCTGAATATTCAAAGATTTCTTCCTCAGACAAATGTTGATCACAACGTACTCCTTCTGGCTATGGTGTGTTTTTTCCTCCTGGTGCAAGCATCTTCCTGGCTACAGAGGAAGTTATTTGGTGTAGTACACCGGCTACTACTCAGACCTTTGTTATTTATGTAGGCACAGTTGCCTTCTCCTCGGACATCAAACCTGGAACACAAGCATCAATAACAGTGTTTTATTGGCATTCTACTGACTCCTGCAGGGTTAGAGTAAACATAACATATATTTTCTCACATAGTTCCCACCAAAACTGAGAAAGGCAAGAATTCTCCTGTTTAGGGATATCAAATATCATTATTTCTGTCATTGCTACATAGCTATGAAATTGTGATCCCATCCACATTCACACAACAAAGGAAAAATAACTCCGGCCTGCCTGGCAAAAGTAAAGTGAGCTGCTCAGTGTACATTGCAGACAGATTTTAGTTGAGAAGAGAATTTGACTCTTTTCAACCATATCCCACCTCTTTTTGAAAATGGTTTGGAATATTGATCTCTAAGCACTCCAATATCAGATGTCCAAACCCTTCTTGAACCATCCCACAGTCTTGCTAGCAGGATGGAAATATGAGATGAAGTTAGTATTTTAATTCTACAAGTGCCCTCCGCAGCCTCCTCTTTTTTGGTCTTTAACAAATTAATTATTTCTCACTACAAACAACGTTCATAATTTAAATTCACAAGCTAAACAGACTAACAAATAATTAAAGTCACTTACTGATTTTCAAACACTGTGCCATTAGGCCATTTCCAAGCCTGGGCTGTTTCTCTTGACAGGCCAATCCAGTAATGAAAAGGACCAGTAAAGTTCACCCAAAAATCCTATGAAAAAGAAAAATCAACTAATTGATGTATTTCATTTCCTTCATCTACTTTTCCACCAAAAATGGTGGCCAAGATAGCTAACAAAAATGAATAAATTAGAAACATCAATTAAAGACATAGCAAAGACAAAAAAAGAAAGAAAAATGCACCATGTTAAGTTTGCAAATATTACATTTATAAAAGCACTAAAATATTGATTGACCAGTATTAAATATGTGAAAGAGTGCAAGACAGAACAATATGCGAAAATACTCAGTACATGGCACTCTAAAGTACTAGATCGTTAGAATAGATAGCACTAGGATACAGCTATCAAAAATTAGTACCCTCCTGGATTTCTTCACAAATATAGAATCATAGAAAAGTGATGTTGGAAGGGGCCTACAGGGCCATCAAGTCCAACCCCCTGCTCAATGCAGGAATACAATCAAAGCATATCTGCCAGGTGATTATTTAAGTTTTTCTTGAATGCCTCGAGTGTTGGAGCACTCGCCAACTCCCGAGGAAACTGGTTCCACTGTCATACTGCTCTAACAGTTAGGATGTTTTTCCTGATATTCAGCTGAAATCTGGCTTCCCTTAACTTGAGCCCATTGTTGTGTATCCTGCACCCTGGGATGATCGAGAACAGATCCTGTCCCTCCTCTGTATGACAGCCTTTCAAATATTTGAAAAGTGCTATATCACCCCTCAATCATCTTTTCTCAAGGCTAAACATGCCCAATTCTTTTGGCCTTTCCTCATAAGGCTTGGTTACCAGCCCTCAGATCATCCTTGTCGCCCTCCTCTGAACTTCTTCCAATTTGTCAGCATCCTTCTTGAAGTGTGGTGTCCAGAACTGGACACAATACTCAAGGTGAGGCCTAACCAGTGCTGAATAGAGGTGGACTAGCACCTCACTGGATTTAGAGACTATACTTCTATTAATGCAGCCTAAAATAGGATTAGCCTTTTTTGTAGTCACATCACACTGGTGGCTCATATTTAGCTTGTGATCTATGACCATTCTAAGATCCTTCTCCCTTGTTGTTTTGCTGAGCCAGGTATCCCCCATCTTGTAACTATGCAATTGGTTTCTTTTTCCAAGGTGCAGGACTTTGCACTTATCCCTATTGAAGTTCATTCTGTTCCTTTCGGCCCAGTGCTCCATCCTATCAAGGTCATTTTGAGGTTTGTTTCTGTCTTCTAGAGTAATAGCTATTCCGCCCAATTCGGTATCATCTGCAAATTTGACAAGCATTCCCTGCACTCCCTCATCCAAGTTTTTAATAAAAATATTGAACATCCAGCAGAAGTACCCAATTAGAGGTCTAGTAAAGTCCTAACAAAAGAGATTACTATGGAAGCAGACTGCTGCACTGGCAGGTATATGTGAGAAGAAGTCATCAAAACATAAACAATTAATTGCTTTTTTCAGAATTTGTAGAAACAAAAGCAATGCAGATTCCCTTAGAACAGTGGTTTTGCAACCTTGGGTCCCCAGATGTTCTTGGACTGCAATTCCCAGAAGCCCTTGCCAGCACAGCTACTGGTGAAGACATCTGGGAGCTGCACTCTAAAAATATCTAGGGACCAACCCAAGGTTGTGATCTACTGCCTTTGAAAATTACAGTGTTTTACTATAAAAAGAAACTAACCTGTTAGCAAACTGCTGATTTATGGGAAGTGTGAGTGAAAGAAGAACAATGATTGAAATATTGGGTATTCAGGAATTGGAAAAAAAAACACATAGTTCCCTGGGCAGATCTGCACACATCATTCTTTACTATCTACACACAAGTTTTTCACTCTTTTTTGATGTTTTTCCCACTTCTGAAATGTTGACTGTAACCACCTTGGGGCAGGGACCTAATTACTTTGCAAATGTTCCCATGTGAATTATATCTTCATAACAACAACTACAGTACTATGAATCTGTTACTATATTCAGGTATGAAATTATAGATGAATTCCTATTTTGTACTTGTTTGTCTCAAATAAGCAACCTCTTGGTCAAGATACATTCATACCTTTTCCTTACCAGTTCTTGCTTGGTATCAATGACAGCTAAGGAGGCACCAGATGAAGAACAGTGCTTCTCACTGGCAGTCCAGTTTCTTTCGTCTGCTGATATATAGTAGCATTTTCCTTGGTACCCAACCCAACCATCCGGGCAGCTGGCATCAATAGGTGGAGGACAATGTGGGCAGGGCGCTGGTTTTTTAACTGAAAACCAATTAAAACTGCATGAATTTTAGGAGGTCACAATTTTCCTGGAAGTCTGAGAATACAATTCAGAAAATCATGATGCAAGTGGCTTGCAATTGCTTAACCAGTGGCCCATTTGGCTGGTCTTTTCAGAATAGACATAACCCAATCAAAGGGAGAAAGTTTTAATCCTCTTAATGTCATGGGGAGAAGTACATGTTTACGAACAGAAATTCTTAATTGGGATGTCTGGGGCTAGTGGATACCTTTAATATACAGGTACCCAACCTGGGGGTTGTGATAATCATTTTTAGTTGCAATTATTTGTATATTTATTATACTGAAGTGTTTTTTTGGGGGGGGGAGGTCACCACAGTTTTTAATTGCAATGATATTTATATTTATTATATTAAATATAATAAATCTTATAATAAATCTTATATAAATCTTATAATAAATTTATTTATCTGTGGGCCCAGAGAATCTTAATTCTCTGGGCCCACAGATAAATAAATTTAATCTGAACTGGAATTGCCGGCAACCTAGAGTTCTTAGGTAATTTCTTAGGTATAATCCTTTGGGCAGATTTCCCTATTACACGTAGGCACCATTCCCGCCCCCTGCTAAAGAGCGGCTCTTGTTTGTTTCTCTCTGCCCCTCTGCATCCAGGAGGAGGGCTGATGTCAGCCCTTTGGACCCGAGTGTGAGCCCAGCACAAAGAGGCCTGAATGAAGCAAGCATGCAGTGCCCCCGCTTGGGATGCTGACGCCCAGGGTGGTGGGAAGATTGAAGAGTTGTTACTGCCATGGCGGGGGCACCTTTCCCGGCGTCTCCCGCTCTTCTGGCTGTTGCCATGGTGGTGAAGTGAAGGGAGAGGGGACCTGGGCAGGGAGTCACTGGGGAGGAAGGCAAGAGGGGCAAAAAGGTGAGGGAGAAGAACCAGGGAGAGTGGGAAATGGGTGCTATGGGGGAGGCATTTATTTGGGCTTGAGGAGATCTTCCCTGAGGGGATTTTTTTTTCCCAAGGGAGGTTTTATCTGGTAGAGGCAGATTTACGGCTCCCCCATAATTATTCATGATTACCTTAATATTTATATATTAGGTCAGGGATCTCCAAACTTTCGACTGTGAGGGCCACACCAGATATTTTCAACATTCTTTTAGGGCCAAAGGAATAGGAACGTGTCTGTGCACACATACGCATGGCTGGCCGCCCACCTGCACAGCACACCCACACTGAAGGGCACAGGCCGGATAAAACAGCAAGGAAGGCCAGATGTGACGTGCGGGCCATAGTTTGGAGACCCCTGTATTATTTATGTATTTATTTATTAGATTTATGCCCTGCCCATCGAGACCAATGGTCTACTCTGGGTGGCATTACAAAATTTAAAAAGCAATGGAACCAATAAACATGCAAGAATCCAAGATTTAAAAATGTAAATATTAAGGTACAGCAGGAGGGAAAGCGTGCCTAAATAGCCATGTCTTAAGTGTACTTCTAAACACACCAGAGAGGGAGCCAGGTGGATCTCCACTGGCAAGTTGTTCCAGAGGCGAGGGGCCACTGCCGAGAAGGCCTGGTTCCTCGTTCTTTTCTTCCGGGCCTCCCTCAGCGTTATAATATTAGGTTAAATATTAGGTTATAATATTTTGAAAAATCAGTTTTTAATGTGTTTACTTTATGCCATTAAAATGCCTTTTTATGCATATGTAGAGGGGGTCCTAGGTTACTCGGCTATTATGAAAGGGATTGGGAAACTCTGCTTTAGTATCACAGCTGCTACTAAAAATGGTTGCCGTGGATGGGAGGTGCACATTCACAAAATGGTTACCTTGGGAGGCAAAAAGGAGTGCCTCAGATCAAACGTTCATCTTTAGCCACCAGTTATCTATATTTGCTAAGAATGCTTCTGATTCGGATTAATCTGAGAGGCATTCTGGGTGATAAAGATGGCAGCTGGTGGGAGGCCAGTGCTTTACTCTGAAACAATTTTAGCCAGCCAAAAATAAAATAGACCAGAGGTATCAGCAGGAGGCATGGGGGAACTCGTCCACTGACACCACAATGTTTATCTTTATGGTTGACCACTTTTGCTGGTATCAGCACTATTAAATTCATTTAACTTTGAATGTTTGGATCACATTGTTTCTTTTTCTGTTTTCATATTAAGTTTTTTCCTTTCTGTTTCCCACAACTCTATTTCCTGCTTGATATTTCGATGCTTTACCTGTTGTCTTTCAAGCATGCATCGTGTCTCGTTATTAGCTTTTATATATTCATTTTAAATTAAATCAGATAATGATGTATGAAATTGATTATAGGTTTCTTGCCACTTACCAGCCACTGCAATTAAAGCAATGGTCAAAACGGTGATAAGAAGAGCAGCTGCTAAGGTGTACTTTTTGTCTGTAATACATTTCGGAATGAAAGCTAGAAAACAGATCAGTACAAAGATGTGAGAAAATGATGCTCACAGGAGGCACAACTACTGCTACTGTTCTAGTAAACATGTCAAAATGTGTTCCTTGAGGGAACCCGATTCAAGTGTTTAATTATTATTACCATGAAACTATGGTATTTAGAAAACAAATGTGTGTTATTATTTCTATCCTTCAAAAAAAGTGTCTAATATAGTTGGGGTTACCCAGTGTTTTTAAAGGTGCATTACAATGGAAAATTTCATGAGGTTACATCAGTACCAATAGCTTTGGATATTTTTTTTTTACTCTTTATTTATCAGCTAAGAATAAGGTAGAAAATACAAAGGGTAAAAGGAAGTAGGGGGAAAGAAAAAGGGTTAGGGGGTAGGAGAACACAAAGTATACAACCATCCAATGTATTCATGTTATGATAACAAATCAACTTTCCGCTTTAGATTTTTTTAAAGGACTCTGGAATTATAACAAAAGAAGAGCGGGAGGAGCAAATGAAGATTGTGGGTGGCTTACAGCAAGTTCAGGAGTCGGATGAAGATGAAGGGATAGCGAGATTCGATTGAAGGCGACAAGGACAAAGAAGAACAAGGAGCGAAACCAAAAGAACAGAGGAAGGGCAAAGGAAGACGAAAAGCAAGAGAACACGAGATAACAGTTTTATTGTAAAAATTCATTTGATTCTAAAAGGGGATGTTCTGGTAATTGCATTGTAAAATATAATGGGATAAAATATTAAGGGGTGAATACAGAAAAAAGTGGAAATGGTATATTGTAGTAATATTGGAAGAAGATATGCAAGGGGGTACCCAAGTGATGGTTAATTGTAAGTTTGTAGGACATATAAAAACAGGGGGGAAATTCAGGATGAAAATGATATAAAAGGATTATAAAAGAGGGAAACCGGTAGTAGAAGATTAAATAAGGTTATCACTGAAATATAAAAGGGAGAATTCTGGGAAGAAATATGCTATATACAGTACTTACGTACTTGGTATGAAGACATTTATATTTGAATATTTAAATGTTTAGAATTAATTTTGTATAATACTGTTTATCAGATACATGAATAAAAGTAGTTTTAGTTATGCTTGTGGTAAAAAGGGTTCATATAATATATAGAGTGAGACAGGGAGAGAGCGGTGGCCGGTAGGGCAGGGCTTCTGCATATCCCTTCCAAGGGGTGCGGGCAAGGCAGGGAATGGTGACAGAAGGAGAGGGAGGAATTAGAGGTGGGAGGAACTGGGGAGGCTTAAGTCAAATTACATCCAAGGAAAAATCAAAATAGGTGTTGACGCTTCTCTTAGAACTGCTGAGCTAGAAATGGATTGAGAGTGAGAGAGAAAGAAGATTCAGAATACTTTAATACGTGGAATTTGTTCTATAAGTGGCTAGAAAATCAGAGAAGGGATTAAATCACCAAGATGCGAAAATAGATAATTATAAGCTAACCATGTAACACGATGTTTAACAAGCATGAATTGAATGTAGATATAGTGGAAAACTAATAAAATGTTACATATATAT